TTTCTAAGTTGACACCATGAAAACCTATTTTCAAACTCATTTTGATACTGCATAAGAATGAGAACTCAAATTATTTTGTTAGGTTTTCATAAGGAAAGCAGTGGCCCACAAGTCATAGACTTGTATCCTTGTAAGAGTTCCCAACCAATATCATTTAATAATAAATAAAGCATTCATTGCTCAATGCCTGACTCCTACCAAATAAAAAAGGAAAAAGGAAAAAAAAATTACCTAGGTCACTAATTTATAATTCAGGGATTTGTGTCCTTTGTGAAGAAAACTAGAGAGACTATTTTATTTGTAACCTTAAAATTCTAGATGTGAAAGAGCAGCTATTGTAAGATTCTTGTGTGTAGAAACTTAAATTGGAAAGTCTATTGCCAGGTTCTGTGAAAAGAGGTAATTCTCCTAAAGAGGAAAGCAGGAACTCATTCTCTTAAATGGATTGGGGTCAGGCGACATCAAATGCATCCACAATTGAGACTACATAAGAATGGTGTGCAAGATAACCTGGCTTCTTCCCTTCAAAGGTGTTTCTGCTGCTCCTTTTGTTCCATTTTACCAATATAAAATGTTGGTTCTAAGAGGAGACACAAATCGAAGTTGATTTGTCCTGGTCTTCCATCCTCCATAGTGACTTAAAGGTTAGTATGAAAACCAGACTATAGATCATGATGACAGACAAGAGATCTGAGAAAATACAGGGGGTACCAAGAATGGAAAGAAAGCTGAGTGAAGTAGCTATACCATTTACTACAAGAATTTTATGTCTCGACTACTACAAAGCTACATTGCATTATTTATTAGATTATTTCTGTAAAAGATATATTTCTTTATATTAAATATCACCTAAAAATGGAATTTGGAAGAGCATAGTGTGCTTGTATGTGTCTTTTCTAAGACTGCAAGCGAAGTTCTTCTCAGTAATGCATCCCTTTCCCACTATTTCTTCAAGCCCTCTATTGGATTTGTATTATGTGGGTACGTAGTATGCACATCACAACGTAGAGACCATATTGAAAAACTAGCTAATCTTGTGACTCCTACTGTTTTAGAATTTAACACAATCAAAGATGTTTGGAGCCTGTAATAAATGCCCACCACATCCTCTCAATCTCTTTAAAAATAATAAATGCCAGAAACAGCACTGTGATCATACTTGATCATTCAGCACTTTATGGAGATGAAGTTGGCTATATAAATATTTAGAATTAAGGTAAACAATGGTCACACATACTACTTTGTACATTTCTGAAATTTTTTAATTTTAGGTTTTTTGTAATTAAAGGTACAATCTATTAAAGAGAGGATAAATAATAACCTGTTAGCAATTACTTAAGGAGAACCTAGTTACCCATTTCTGTATTATACTATTTTTCTTGTGATATTTTTACCAACTTGTACTGATACATTTTGTAATGAATATAAATTACATTAGAACATTTATACATTCATATTTTTGCCTATTATGTATTTATTCTTGAAGATACATTTATAAACTACCATATGTCAAAATGTTTCTAGACATCAGAGGATGATTAAGGTAGATCCTATCCATAAAGAACACCAATCTATTCAACATTCTTTGTCAAGAGTCTGTCACCTTGCACAAGAACATAAAAAGGAATTGTTAGAGCCTCCAATAGCATAATTAAAAAATATATATAAAATGGGAACTTATAAAAACACAAAAGAATAAGTCCATCTCTGGACATTCTACTTGGGTAATTCTGAGATGGGAGCCAGTGATATTTATTTTAAAATCGTATCCCAGTCATTCTGATGTGGAACTCTTTTTGGAAAACTTAAGTCTGACAAATTGTAACCATGAAATAATTATAAAACACTTAGCATTTGTTGACTCCTCTCTCTTTTCCCACCCCCA